CCTCCCTGTGCCGTCACCAGCAGGCCTTTGATCTGACAGTAACATAGATGTTAACACTTCAACCCAAAACCCCCGGGCTAAACAATAATCAATTCACCAGCCACGCTGTAAATGTCACCTTGTAAGCAAGTTTTTTCGTTACAAACATTGCTTTTCGCCTCGGAAGGTTGAGAATTTCTCCCTGTTGCCAGGGCAACAATGTATCTCGCAAGCCAGGTGCTTGTGACAGAACAGAGAGGGTGCATAGACAGACTGAGAGAGCGAGGCTGCAGGAATGAGCAGCACGATACAAAGCCAGCTTCAGAAAGGGTTAGGTAACGTGAAGAACCCAGCCACAATGCTCCAAGACTTCTCAGCGTGATACAACGTTTCATTCCACAAGAAAAAAAGCGTAATTCCTATTTGAGCGAGTTTGATTCTGGTAATCCTGTTATCTTAGACCTGCTACTTTCCTCTTAGGATAAAAATAGGACTCAAGGCAGTGTGGAATGAAGTTCTCCACTTTGAGTCTGCCACCGACATCAGGGGATATCATTAATGATCTGGCTGTGTAAAAATACAGTGTGAATTATACCAAAGCTGCCTTCTGTTTTTTTCTGTCAGCGCTTCAAGCAGTACTGTGTTGATTTGCCACCAGAACTAGAGCCTCTTCCAAAAACTTCAGAGGATGCTCTCCACTGCCGAGTGTGAAACTGCATGGGTTTCACACGTTTGCCTCGTCAAGATTCGGAACGGCCCTATTTGTAGCACCCTAATCCGCTTTCTTCCTGCTGAGACAGCAATAATATTCTTGTCTCTGGGTTTCAGACGGGGCCCTGTGGCGCTCCAGTGTCCACACACACAAAGCAGGGCGTATTTGGTGGAGGAGAGACGGGATACATGTGTGATGTATTCCTGTAATAACTCTATGAAAGAAGGGTAGAAAGGAGCTCAGAAGAAGAGCACAGCGTGAGGTGTTCTAAATAAAGTTTTGAAAAAATATCCTCCCAAACATGGAGGGATTTTTTTTCATTGTTATATTTGATCTGGCTAATGCTAATGCAGAGTTGGCTTCCGTGTGCTTCAACTGTCTGGTTAAAGGGGATAAGAGCAAAGCAGAAGCATGCTGAGATCAAAAGACACATGGAGAGAATGTAATGAATAATACGAGAATCTTTTTTGGGGGGAAAGTTTCACGCGAACATTTTTAAGAGCCCTTGGTCATGTCAAGTCTCATACTCAGCTGCAGACACTTATTCTTCTCGTAAATGTGACAGAAGTTAGTGTCAAAATGAGGCTGATTGCACTTGATTCTACAAAATTGAAATATACTGTACAATAATTGTTTTATAAAATGAGCAAAGCCATTGGCAGCGTATTTGTCGCAAAAAAAAAAAAAGAGGCATTTCTTGGAGGCATGCTCATATTTCTGAAACACCTTCTTGGTCTTTCCCGCTAACAATGTAGAACTGAATTACAAAAGATGTAAGAAGATATAATAATACACTTCTTGTTAACATAATTCATTTTATGTGTGCATTTTATAACCCTAATTACATTTTGTGGTTGTTAGAGAATGAGAAATGGCTTGAGGAGACAATTCAACTGAGAGTTAAGTTGTTTTAAAAAAAAGTATTTCACATTTTCAGAGTGTAGTACAATTAAGTAAAAATTCCCTGAGGTTAATTAAGTGGATTGTTTAAATGTGTTAACTCAGCAAGTACCTCAAGACATTGTGTAAATAATGATTATGTATTTTTAAGTAATGTATGTTTTGATTTCCTATACGTCTCTACGTCACATTCAAAGCTTTATATTTCCTTATTATTCTATTTAACAATCAGTTGTATTGTGTTAAATGATTACTCCATTCAGGACTCTGCTGCTGGATCATCACCGCAAAACATCCTGACCATATCACCCCATCCTCATCCAACTGCACTGTCCGACCTCCATCAGGAGTACACCCCCTCTGCTGGTTTACTATCTGTCCCCACCCCCCGCCTCGTCACCATGGGTGCTCTGGCTTTCAGCTGCACTGCTCCAAGACTATGGGACTCCCTCCCACTACACATCGACAGTCTGACACCATCACCACATTCAAGTCCCTCCACAAAACCCCCCAGTTCAGATCAGCCTATTCACTGTAGTACTCCCTGTTATTGTCCTTTTGTACAGTTTTTAACCTGTTTTTTTGAATATTTTATGAATTGTAAGGTGTCCTTGGGTGCTTTGAAAGGTACCATTAACTCAAATGTATTATTATTATTGCAAATATTGTCATATTTGAATGTTTTTTACTTTGTTATGGAGCATGTACAGTAGTACTTTACCTACTGTATACACTATGGTACATTTTTAGGACATTAACCACTTAACATTCAATCTTCCTCTTTCTGTGTTTTTTTTTTCATCACTTACTCATCTTACAGTAATGTAGTTAGAATTGTATTTGGTTTAACCTCCTTAAATTAAACTAAATGAAAGCACATCACAGTACCGGCTTGAATGCCAGGCATTAAAAATAGTACTATGCAATATAATACCAAAACATTTCCTCAACTGCTGTCATAGGGGTCGCATTCTGTGCAGTGCTGATGTTAATTACCAAACAAGAAAAATTAAAAAGCTTAGTCATGAATAGCAGCTTAACTGGTTAATGGGTCATTAAGCCACATCTATGATGACAAAATATCCTAGTGTAATGTGATTAACAAACATTTTCCAGACAAAGAAATGTCCTGAACACATTCAGCATACTGATGAACATAAGAAGAAGAAGCTTGTTCCTAGTGGTGATGGTAGAAAGAAGGGTGAGGGTGACCTCTGCAGGATGATTAGTTCCACTCACTCTTTGAGTATCCTGTTCCAGTCACAGGTTTATTGTCAGAAATTTAAATATTGGGAGGAATTGTATTTTTGAATCGGTGTGTCATATGATATGCAAGTGTTAATGGTCTGTACCTTTAGGTGCCCGACGTTTCTTGGCTTCAGTCGCAACTGGGAGCTGAAATATATAAAATACAACACAGACAAATAAGTAATAAGCACAATACACTCCATTACAGCCAAAATACACTGGACACCATCAATCAGAGTTCCCATAGGAAGCATGAGCTGTGGCCACACGGAAATAGATTTCCCCCAGTTTCTAACCGTTAAGTCTGTGTGGTAATAAAGGTCAAAGCTTAGACTGGCTGAAATGTCTGCTGAAAAGTTAAGGTGTGTTCACTGTTCATATACAAATATAAAGAATATAAATACATTTGTTTCTTGATTGGACACGATAAGCCTAGGAATGTATTGATGTTGTATATGTCTTAGGGACTGCAAGGTGCTAACAAGCCAAGTTAAGTAAAAGTATGTCATTAATTGGCCAAATATAGTTAAAAAATGTATGTTTTAAACATTATACAACAGATAGCAAACACATGGAGCCAGTTTATCAGACTAGAAAAAGTGTATGTTAAACAAACAGATCTGATCAATGACAAATCTGCTTTACAAGAATTTCTTGATGTGAGAACAAGGTCGAAAAAGGTGTAACACTGTTTCTGAATATTCATAACAGAAGGAGCAGCTTGTGTTTCTTTTTTTACACTTCTGCATGCAGTGGTTTGCAGGCTATGCAGGATTAAACAGCTTTCTTGTGTCAGGTAGATGCAGCACGCATGCTCAATCGCAATGTTTTGCTTCGCATCTCTTCTCCATATCCGACTCACTTGTGGGTTGCTTTGCCACTGAAGTGTTGTGCATTACTATTGTCTATACTTCACCACGTCATAAGCGCTAGACGTTATAGCCACAACACAACTAGTATGTGTGGTAAATCCAGCCTCAGTTAGCGCAGAACTGGACATTTATTTACGTTATCTAACCTAAGATAAAACATAAAGCGTGGGCTAACGATGCAGCACTCTTAGTGTAAGGCATGTCTGTAGTTGTTCCCTTCCTCCAGCTGTAGCTGTTAGGTCTCTTGTTTTAGCTTGTCCTTGGAGGAGTGAGATTAAAGTTACCGTTAGCTGCAGGTTAATTAACTTAGCTGCGACTTACATTCGGTTAGCCAGGCAGCTAACATACATTGAACGGGTTTTTATTAAGCATGTATTGAAAAGCACATCGTTACGTTTACTTTGGGAGTATCAGAATAACACTTTACCAGTGGCGTTTTTGTGTTTACCCATTAAAACGTTAAGTAGCTTTAGTATTGCACTCACCGCGGTGACATTCTCCTCGTCCGCCATCTTGGGATGATCAACAGCAGAAGCTGTTGCCATGGATACATTGGTGGAATGCGGAGGAGTGGCTGGTTGGATTTATGAATGATTTTACTTACTGTTACAACCAACCAATACAATGTTCATCATCAAGATTTTAATTCGTCTACGTGTATTTTACATCATGTAGCTAAGACTTTTCCTATAGTATTCTTTATTAAACAAGCTATCTTAGACAAGATCCACGTTTTGTGAAATAGGCCAGAACTGTTTGAATGTTATAGGGAACCATGTTTCTAGCAAGTATCGAGAAGTGTTTTAAATAAGTCACCAATATATACAACACACCTTAACACACATTCGGATCAGCAAAGGGGCATTTCAACATAACACTAATTTTCTCTATTAAGTATGAAGACAAACAATTTTTAACAAAAACACTAACAGCCTTGTGCTTAAAATTGCTGAACTACATCTGCTGAGAGGCACTGAGGTTACACTAAAAGAAAGTGATTCAGTGAAACAGTAACAGTAGATCAGAATTGGACATCGTAACCTACATTCTATATATTCACAGGCAAACGTGAACATGCTAATGCCTAACAACAAGTAACAAGCAACTCAAAATTCCAACCCATATGCGACTATTCAGTAACATGACTTTAATCTGGAGTATAATTATTATGGATAACAAGTCAAAATAATGGATAATCAACAAATAAATATTGTGTTCTTTCTGCTCATTAATACATTTTATACATAAATTAGCTAAATTCTATACTATATAAGAAATGTTACATTAAGAAACCTGAACCATTTGTTTAATTTTAAAGGCTCCATACTATGAAAGAAAACATAATGGTATTCCTAAATCAACATGAATGAAAATGTGCAATCCCACTTAATTTGCCCTAAAAACAACTTGTTTTTCTCACTTCAAGACCAGTGATTAAAACAGTAAAAAGAAAAACCTTCATCCCTTCACCTTCATTAACCATCATTTTTTACAGTGTTATAAAAATGAAAACATAACATTTAGTACAAACAGCAGCTGTTTTCATCAGTAGTGTAAGATAGTAACAGGATGCATCTCATTTTGCCGGGCATCCAGTCATATTATGTGTACTGCATGTATCAAGGTTGCACATAAAGCAGAATGATAAACCAGTTACTCCGTAAAGCTCTACATGCTGCTGCAATGGCAAACACATGTATACATACATACATACAAGCTAAGTGAATCCATCATTCAATGATGGTTAAACATTCTCTGGTCAAGTATACGTTTTATATAATTCCAACTCTTCTAAAGTTGATTTTTGAGGCCCCAGCATGTTATTTCTAAACAAAATTGTGAGATAGAAAAATCCTATCACTTTCCGCCAGCGTATTTAACAGTGACAGGATTTAAATTATTGTATGTTATCACTAAATCCCAGACCGGTTAAATAATACGCTGCATATTGCACTGCGTATACTTTAACGTTTATATCTTTAGTCAGATAATGTTGAGTTTATTCAAGTTGGTTATATTGTGATGTTGAAGTTGCCAATGTGTTCTGTATTACACCATAGCCCATTTAAAGTGGAAAACGGGGACACTTCACTAGGCTGCTGTTCAAATGACAATACTTTTCTTCATGTTGATTGTTTTTGCCCTCTTCACTAAATAATTACACCCATTCCCTAAACCCGTTGAAGTATGTTAGGACATGGCTTTGTTGGTCAGAGAAGAGACTAGCCTGTAGCATGAAGGATGTGAAAAGCAATCTAATTCCTCTGGTTCCTGCTGAAGGCTCCCTGTGCAGCAGAGGTGGCAGCACTGGTGGCAGCAGTCTGCACAGTGGGGTTGGTAATGACTCCGTGGGAGAACTCCTGCTGGGCCTTGGTGAAGCTGGCCCCGGTCCTTCTGTACTTAGAGTGGACCTAGTATATAGAACATAGGCACAGATAAGGGCAGTGACAAGTTCTAAATGAGATCAACAGATGAGTAGCTCATGTTTTCAGTCCCAATTGTTGAAAAACTTAAATGTCAGCGATATTTAGTGGAAAATGTATTTCACGCCCCCCCCCCCCCCAAAATGTATGTTGAGGATAAAATTGTTAGCATGTGTGTACAGCAATGGCAGATATTGGCAATTAATATTGCAGGGTAACATTTTCTTCAGAATAGAGCTACAACAATTAGTCCATCAAAATAAAAGTAATAGCCAACTTCTTTAATAATTGATCATAATTGTACTTCTTTGATTGAAAATGAATCAGTTATTAACGTCTCGTACCATGGCCGTACTGTAGCTGCTGTTGTTCAAACAAATACCTTTTTCTGTGAATAAGTATTTCCCAGTATTTTCTCATGTCTTCACCTAATGAATTGTGGTATTTTTGATTGATTCTTAAATAAGTGTTAAAATAAAATGTTGACTGATTTGCTTAGATCATTTTGAAAATGTTTGACCCTTCGAGGGTTTCTAAATCTTCACATTCCCTCCGATACCTTATTTGCCCTTCACTTTCAGCTGCAATGCAAGTTTATCTGTGTCACTTACATTTTTAGTGTCTCTCGTTATGTTTTTTCTTTGATCTGCATGCGCCTTCACTAAGTTGGAGCTAAAAACAAATATAAGCCAAGTGGGAATACACATATTTATATATGTAATGCGCGCCATGTTTAACTCTAACTTTAATGTTTATTTTCAGGCAACTTCAGTTGATTGTGAGGCACTGCCATCTTTTATATAACTGCGAACATACAGTAAGTGTAGAGTGCTGTTTTAGGGTAATGGATCATGGCTTTATTTCCCTTTGTAAACTTTTTACATTAGCATACCATTTTCAGTAGGATGACAGCCAGGACAGAGTTTACTGTGAAAAAACCGGCCACCACCATCATAACCACAGCCACAGCCAAGTTTTTGCCGATCATGCTGATGGATGCGATCCATCCGCTGTTCGAAACAGAGACAACCAATAAACACGTGTAACTTCACATTTCTCTCTACAATGAGCATTTACTAAATATTTAACAACTTCAAGCATTTGAACAGTTCTGGAAATGGCTGAATTAAAGAGAAATGACCCAACATTGTAACCTGCCCAAGTGACCAATGGAGTAGCAAGAAGTTTGAAAAAGTGAATAATGACAAACTGAAAAGTCTAACATATTACATGACACAGAAAAGAAACCCAAAGAGAAAAGTTCCACACACTTACAAAGCAGCAACCCAGACAAGTTAGGGCAGCAGGAATCTGTCAAAGAGATGCAAGAGAGGAGAAACAGGGCAAAACACACACACACAAACACACACACACACATACAGGCGAGAATGAAGATGGACCCGTGCATACACACATTTACTACAGATCTACCCAAATCACACTCAGTCTTAGTTATGAGAATAGAAACCGGTTGAACAACTTTACACCACACCTTTATTTCCACCAAACATGCAGAAGATGATTTAATTAATAAAGGTTGGCACTGACCTGTTTCCCCACTTGGGGATCCCCACAGTCTGGATGATATACACTGCCACTTGGAAGAAAAAGACAAAAAAGAAGAAAAAGAAGCTGAAGGAGCTGTCAGACCTAGAGAGGGAAAATAGAAAACACAATTAAAATGTTTTCATGATGATAATTTATGATTCGCTGCAAGAATATTCTACAAAGATGTAAACCATTTAAATACATTTAAGTGTAGAAGTCACAAAGATGATCAATAGAGCATCATTGATGTTTAGCCTCCAATTAAATATTTGTGTTTCATTAGATATACCTTAATGATTATAATTTTTTTAATTCAGATAATTCTCCAATTAGAAGTTATTTTGGAACCTTGTCAAGATGTAATGCTGTTTAAGATGATTACCCGATGCAAAGATTGTAAGTCTTGGGAAATTATTGTATTTTTATTAATCAAAGCAATGAGCTATGAACCAGAGAAACTGATTTTAGCAATGTCTAATATTTTAAATGGAGTACAGGGTGGCCCACATTAACCTCAAACCCCTCTAGTTGAGTTGAATGATGAGGCTGCCAAGTTTTTTAAAAGTAAAATAGAGAAAGATAAGAACAACACTGCTAATTAGCTCGTCTACATGTGCCTGTTTCTACTTGTACAAAGAAATAAAAACATTAAGTCCTGTAAGTCACGGAAAACAATCAACATTTCCTTGTGAGCACGAGGCAAGCAAAACAGTGTACCTGAAGGCCTTGTAGACGGGCCGGTACCAGCAGATGAAGGACACCGGGGTGAAGAGGATGAACCAGAGGATGGACAGACCGAAGTCAACCCCGTACTCAGCGTCTGCAGTGAAGTAAGCCAGGCAGGCCAGCACGTTGAGGAAGAGAGTGGCACTGTGGACTGAGGGGACACACAGGAAACCAATGTCAAACACACATCTCTACTTTGGAAAAGCTCAAATTAGGAGTTTTTTGTAATGGGGAGAAAAAAAACTTTTGTACCCTTTTAGAGGAATGAATAGGTGTGAGGTCATTTTGTCAGTATGTCGTTTGTCAACAATGTCTGACAGACATTGAAGGCTGCATGTATCTACAGATGCTCCAGTTCAAAATGAGAATACATTTTTGTTCAAATGTCATCATATAATGAAAAAGTTCCGAAAACCATCAACAGCATGTCTATGATCGATATAATTGTGACATTAAAGACTTCATGCAATTCTACAAAATGTCAGGGTCATCAGATGGCCTGTTATTGATCCATACTTTATAGAAAACTAGAAATATATGCTTCATTGTAAATGAAATGAATAAATCACCTACGTTTGAAAACAATTGACTTGTTAACATACCAAACTCTCAGAATCACACCGTGTTATGGATCAATGACTATTTTATATTGAAAGATAACAGTTGTAAAGATAAATACTGCATGCAGGGGCACTTACACATCCAGAGGTAGTACATTCTCTTGCAGATCCTGCGGTACTCTTCAGGGATGTCCTCCTCAAAGTCCTGATAGAAGCACGGCTTTACAGGGGAAAAACTGGGAAGCGGTGGCCAGTTGTTTTCTTTAGCTGACAGACGAAAAAAACAACAAGTGGTTAAACACGGTGAGCGCTTGTGGTCTGTTATAGTTTGCGTGTACAACAGCTAAGTTAGCTTGCAGCTTCTTGAATAAATACTTACAGCCAGTGTTGAGCCCTCTGCCTGCAGCCCTGTTCTGTATCTCCTGCTCCTTCCTCTCCAGCTCTGCAGCTTTCTTCTCCAGCTCCTCCTGCTGTTTGATCAGGTTAGCCTGGCCAGCTACTGCATTAGCCTGGTGGTTGAAGGAAGAGCTACTCTTAACACTGCTAGCAAGTGGAGGAGCTTGGGTCATAAGATTTTCATTGCCATTTCTAAATTGTAGCGTATGTGCATATGACCTTTGAATCTTGAAAAATATAGTTGCTGCATCACTACAACCAGCTGCAGGGCTTTTCTATCTAGTGATGCAAAATGTATGAGCTCAACTACAGGCAATGAGGACCCACTACACACCCACTTCAGCCATGTAAGACTGAGAAATGAGCCATTCTGAATAACTGGTACGTTTACTTTTGAAATGTTTTAGGTAGATTATTCTTATAATACTTCTGTAATTTTAGTTAAGGCTTTCTTATTTCTACTTTAATCTAGTGAAAGATCTGAATGCTTTATCCACCACTTAATTTATAATATGTGTTTAATGTTATATCAATATCAGCCTAAAAAAAGACAATTGGTTTGCTCTACTTACTGCTGACAAAAATGACTTGTTAACTTAAAGCTTTGTTATTCCCCTAATCTATTGTTTGGAACATACAATGCAACATTTGGATGCACTTTGGTTATGTAAATCTGAAACGAAATTCCTAAAAAGCTGAAATAAGATTTGACACCAGCTTATTTAACCTTTTTTCTATCTGTTAATGTGTTTGTGTCTGACTCACTTGTGCGCTCTGCTCCACAGAAGTCGGTAGGATGGCGGGTTGAGAGGAGGCAGCTGAGATGGGGATGGTTGTACCAGTGTGGGTTCCCTTTGAAACAAATATGGCTTTTTTATTAACTTCACTTTCTTTCATTGATGAAACAACTATAAATGACATCAACAGCGTAATAAAAAATTGGAAGAGGAGCTAACCATGTCAGTTGCAGAGAATGGGTTGAACTCCCCAGTGTTTTCAGAGGCTCCGCTGGTGACTTGTGTGATTGAGGCATCCTGAAAAAAGGGCAAAACTTGATGTTATGAGGTGCTGAGAAGCCATGACCCTTCACTTTATAGTTGGTGCCTGCCATGTTTGGAGTAGGCAGCAATCCACAGAATATCAACCAGTCAAAGACGAGCACTTATTTGTCCCAAACCAAATGTACTATAAGCCAAAGGCAGGAGCCCACCTGTCTTAGTTAAAATGTACCTATTTGAACAATAAAAGGTGCTTTTTCTTTAAGTAAACATGTCACTAAGTCACTTGTTAACCTACAACCATTGGGTAATATCATTTTAACATCTAAAACACAGAGATTTTGTGCCACACCAAATAATATTGCTATAAGCCTAAAAGGTGCGCCATTACATTCCACATTTCCCCTTGAGGATCAGGGTTACAACATTTACATTTTTACTTCAATGGCGTAGTGAAGGAGTCACAGTTGATGGCTAAACATCAGCAGGCACCTGCTCATGTGTGTCTCTGCTTACCTGCGCAGGTGAGCTAGCAGCCCACAGCGTTACCACACTATTTTACAGATACACTTTATAAATAGATTATATTAAATATACAACGTGGCCTACTTAATACCTAACATTCTTACTCAGGAAATACTGAGGCCAAACCCAGCAACCAACCGAACAGGTTTGTGTTGCAGCATATCTCTTTCAGTCTCCACTTCACACGAAAACAGCTTCTTAAAGACTTCACACAGAAACAACAAACACACACACTCACCTGGAAGGGCTCAATATCCATTGTGTCCACGAAAGGGTTGCTGTCAAATCCCGACATTGTGGATAAAAGTTTATATTGTGTGGAATAAACAACACAGCTCCCGTGTCCCCGGCGGCGGCTGCTGCTCCTGCGGATGGTGCGGTGACCTGCGTGTCTGCGCATGCGTGGCTTACGTCACCAGGAGGCTGTCCCTGAGTAGTCTGATACATTAAACTACCTTTACCTTAGAAATTATGGCAATTGCTTTCAATTATGCAGTTTTCGTGACAGTATGAATTCAGGCCACTCACGTGTGTCTAGAAATTAGATTTGTGGTCACTGTACAAAAAGAGGTATTTTTAAAACCGGATTTTGTGTTTAGGGCCATACTGTTGCATTTAGGTGCTGTCGCAGTAAAGGGTCACCTACAGAAAAATAGGGATACCATATTAAAGGCATGCCCAATTATAGGTTGTTTTATTTATTTTGACGCAAATGCATTTACGTTATTATTTGAATAGTTTGTAACCCTTTCAAGGTTTATGTCCAGTTGACTTCGAGGTGTGGAAGGAGTAGGCTACTCAGATATTTTACTTAAGTAAAAGTAGCAATACAAGGGTAGAAATATTCTGTTACAAGCAAAAGTACCACATACTGTATACATTATATTATATAGAACCAACAACCTATTATACAGAATGGCCCATTTCAGAATCAGATGACACATTGCTGCATTTTAATCTACAGCTGGTGAAGGTAATTTTAATTACTGTATTTCTGGGTTTCTCATAATGATATTTGATCAAAAATACTTTTTTTCATATATTGCTGCTCCTAGTCTGCGATAAACTAAAACTTTAAAATAAATGTAGTAAAAGTACAATATAAATGTAATACTTAATTAAACTACAAATACCTCAACATTTTAATTGTGGTGCTAATTGTGGTGCTATGTTCAAAGTTGTATTCTACTATTATCCTTGTTTGTCTGTAAATACATGTTTAGACATCACAGATGACAAACATATCATACATAAGTATCATACTCATGGATGCAATCAACTTAAAACTGCTGCACAGAGTATTTTTTTCAAAGTATAAGTAAAACTAAAACAATAACCTTTACCATGATTAACATTGTTGCATTACACTTCATGTTCTTTGACGTTTTACCTGTTGAAAATGCCTCCTTATGGCTTGTATTCATGTATTGCTTTTATATCTGAAGGCAAAGAAACACATGGGCTTTGCAGAATGTGAAAGAAAACTAAATCTGCAATCCTAAGACCACACATGAGGTATGCAGAGTTTCAATAGCTGTTTCCCAGGAGCAGTTTAATATAGGTTTGTAATTGCAAAGCCAATTTCTGATTACACCGAAGGGAAAACTAGGCCCTAAACCATGGATAGTCATTTTTGAGATGTTAAAATGAACAATATATGATCCGGACTAACTGCTGTTTTTCTAAATTGAACAGTTAAAATACTTTGGAGGACAGGAGCACTGAACGGGTATACTGTATTGCCAGGATGAAGACTAAATGTTTGTATTATTTGCTTTTTCATTGACCAAAAACAATTATAATATGCCCCTGTTACGTGCCGTAGTGTTTGTGTGGGTGTGTGTGTCTTTCTCTCTCTCCCTCTGATTCCCCAGGTGCAGCCTGATTGTCCCCAGGTGCAGCCTCTCCCCAGGTGCTCCTAATTCTCCAATCAGGGCCTCCATATAGGACATGAGGAGGGTTGCAGTCGTTCTCTGGTTGCCAACAACCAGAGACAATACATCATGTATTTTTTAGATGCCCGGATTATAACAGACAAAGAGTCATTCTGAAAACTGCACTGGAACAACTCAACATCAAGTACATGGATTTCAAGGCAATATATGAAAGTAAATCAAGAAATGAAGCAAACAAGCTGATCTTCAAATTCCTCAAAAGCACTGGTCTGAGGACAAGGATTTAGTATGAACATTTAATAACTCAACAGTAGGTGGCGATATATGCTCCAAGTGGAAGCGATTCGCCATTAAAGAGAAGAAGAAGAAGAAGAACAAGAGAGGGAAGTAAACGAAGAAGAAGCAAAAAAAGAAGAAGCATGGCTGCTGATATGAGATTGCCAACTATTCAGAAACCAGTGTCGCTAACATTTTCTGCTTTTGACCGAAAAGATCTAGTCGTCCCGGGCGATGTTATCACTTCAGACACCGGCTTCATGAGGTAGGCATCTGGGTGTAGCACCGGTGGTGTGACCAGCTGCTGTGTATGATGGCCTCAACATGTTGTCATGGAGGGAAATCAACTACCGTTAAAATGGGCTTGATTATCTTGGAAAATGAAAAGTAGATTTTATGTTGATTGACCATCAGCAGCAGCATCTTAATGCAGGCTGCACTAGCATTGTCTACCTTAAAATGTAAAGACATTTAAAAATGGATGAGTTATTGGTTGTACTCTTGCCCTAATCATATTTGTTTAGCTGTTTTTATGGAAGATGTATAAGTCTTATCTATCATCACCAGTAATGAGTGTTCATCCTCACAGCAGTTCAGGATGACATAAAAAGTTTAATGTAACTTTCTCCACATTGTCATTTATCCTCAGGGGACATGGTACCTATGTTGATGAAGAGAAGCTGACTGCTTCAGTTGCTGGAGAGGTGCAGAGAGTAGACAAGCTGATCTGTGTCAAACCACTAAAGACCAGGTAAATTATCAAATGGATACTCTGAAACGTTTACTGGTTTTACAAGTTGTAACAGAAGTTGTGTGACTATATTTTGGTTGTATATCATTGAATTTCAGATTCAACGGTGAGGTTGGAGATGTGGTGGTTGGCAGAATCACAGAGGTAAACACTGCCGCCACATCTCTTTTAATATACGATGCCGGACATTTTAAATGTATCCTAAAATATATATATTTTCTAGCCAATATTCTAACTAAGATTTGTGTGTTTTGATGATATGTATAGGTACAACAGAAACGGTGGAAGGTGGAAACCAACTCCCGTCTGGACTCTGTTCTCTTGTTGTCATCTGTCAATCTGCCTGGAGGAGAGCTGGTGAGCTGCTAAAAAACAAAATCACTGGGAGAAGTGATTTGTGTACTTCACAGCAAACTGAACAATGCCTCTTTTTAATCTCTGATTTTCTGTTTTTAGAGGAGACGATCTGCAGAAGATGAGCTCACCATGAGGGAATACCTTCAGGAGGGCGATCTCATCAGTGTAAGTCACAGTGAAATATAATCTTTAATTTGCTGCTTTGTCTAACTATTCTCACTTATCATTTTATTGTTGCTTTTTTTCTATGCTTTTTAGGCAGAGGTGCAGTCCGTCTTCTCAGATGGAGCCCTATCACTTCATACCCGTAGTTTAAAGTATGGAAAAGTAAGTTATGCCAGTGTACACAGAGTAAAGATGTTGTTATACCCCAAAATAATGGTTCACTTTGCTCTTTGACTCATTGTATGTGGTTCAATCAAACAAATCAGAATGTAAACAATGGGCAAGGACACTCGTGGGGGTGGACAATGCTATCACAGATGGGGCTTGCAGACTTTGGAATTCCGAAATATGCACATTTCCACAATGTCATTAGTTTCTCAGCTATTACACAATTGAATACAAATCAAAGGTAGTTATACTATTTCCTCTTTCCTAATTTGACCTAATATCCTGTTTTCTACTTTCTCTGCCCATCAGTTGGGTCAGGGAGTGCTGGTACAGCTTTCTCCTTCTCTGATCAAGAGGCAGAAAACACATTTCCACAACCTGCCATGTGGTGCATCCATGATCCTCGGGAATAACGGCTTTGTGTGGTTGTATCCCACACCGGAACAACTGGAGGAGGAGGCCGGGGGCTTCTACACCAGCCTGGAGGTGGGAACAAAATAGTATTTAATTTAGTCTCCCTAGTAAATATATTGGTCAATGAATACTTGATTTAAACAAGAAGTTAACAGCTAACCTTGTCTAATTTAGATATTGTAAAATATGGGAGTAATCTGCAACACTATTACTTAAAAAAAGAAAAGGGAAAAAAGTCTATTGTACTGCATCCAAATTCTACTCCCATGTTTGTATTAAACTTGTTTGTTTGTTTGTCCATGACCTTTCAGCCTGTCAGTGTGTCGGATCGAGAAGTGATTTCACGGTTGAGGAACTGTCTACTGGCTTTGGCTGCACAAAAGGTCCTTTTGTTTGACACCAGTGTTCTCTATTGCTACGAATCTTCAGTTCATCACCAGGTAGGAAGCAAATATTCATGCACTATGTCACTTATTTCAGATTAAAAAATGTTATGCGTTTCTTAATTGAGCCTGGTGTTTCCTATATCTAAAGCAATACAAATATGTGTCAATAAAGATGTGGACATTTTCCATGATATATTGTGCCATCTGGTGGCCATATTTGAGAACAACAGAAACAATTTAATTACTGTTCTTCTAAAGCACAGAAACATTTAGAGGAACAGGCATGGGTGATTTCATTGCTCTTTTTTGGCAGGGAACTGATGTCATAATAACACATTGACATAAGGCAAATATTTGATAATGCAACATTTTCTCTTTTGCTAATATCCCGAGATAACCAAGCCCAAATAATGTTTCTGGTCAACTGAAGTAGAAAATATTGCTAAAGGCTTTTCTTTTTGGTCTGTCTCTGTAACCAAAAACAAAAATGTAGCTAAGGTGCTAATGTCATTGAAATATTTACTGCATTCAAAAATGTGAGAATAAATGTGCATTATGCATAATTGTGCTGGTTGGTTTTAAGTTGTGATTTCTTCTTGTTACATTTTATAATAAAAGCCATTGCTATATAAATACTGTTTACCAGGATCATTTTAGTGTAATGTGTAATTGATTTATAATTTCTTTGCTTTATTCCGGCTCTGTAGGTCAAGGACATCTTGAAGCCAGAGGTGATGGAGGAGATTGTAATGTTGACGCAACAGAAGCTGTTGGATCAGGAAGGTTAAAGTGCATCAATCCTGATCATGCATCAATGTCAGGGTCACCAGTGAGGACCGATCTGGCCTTTTTTTCAAAGAACCAATCTTGTTCTGCATTTAAACAGCTCCACATGTATTTTATGTAACAAAACAGATGTTTGTTGTTTGACCGCTTATGGAAATGATGGTTATTTACTTTCTTTCTGATTTCTTCAGTATTCTGAAATCACTAGAGCCACTGTTATTACATTCTACCAAGGTATAGTGGAACCCTTTTGATAATGTTATACAAAGAATGTTGTATGCAATACATTTTCTATAAATATCAGCCCTTCTTGGTGTCGTGTAGTTTGTTGATTAAGGAAGAAAGAGAAAGGGAAACATGTCTTCATAAGAGGTTTTATTTGATGTGTTTATGCAATCCTTTCCAATTTGCAACAACCGTAATGCAGTTGCATACATGCAGTTTATCTTTAACATTTTTATTTTATGTTTATTAAGACTGTCAGCACTGACATGTTACTATTAAATGCCGGATTAACTAAACTGGGGGAAAAAGTGAGGCCAATCAGAGCATAAGTCATATTTCAAGTTTTTTTTTCTTAAATATTTGAAATATATGGGTTTGTTATAAGTACGTTTTAAAACTGAGGGGGAAAAAACCCATGTTTTACATGTCAGAGGATTTAAATCTTTCATACTCTTCCTCTTTATTGAAAAATATCTCAACATTTTGTAATTTTGATTTGATTGTTGAAGTGTTTTTCTAAACACTAGTAGTTCGAATAACTCAACCTTACACATGTGCTGCTGTAAAATGCAAAATACCCATTAATGCAGCAGTAATATTAATCCAAAAATATAAAATTGTAATACATTGATAAGGACCATTTTACTTCACACTTAATGGTGTTACTTTCCATTTTTAAGCACATTGATCATAAGGTAATTTTTACTAAAGTTTAAAGTTTTGAACGCAGGACTTTCACTTGTAGTGGAGTATTTTCACTGATTCTGATTCAAAACTTCGAATACTAGTATTTTTACCACTTCCTGGACTGGATGTGCTCTGTCCAGCTCTCCCAGCATAATACATTACCCTGGTCCCTGTACTAGCCCACGCACGCATGCGACGTCACACGTAGCCCCACCCACATATTTCTGTAAACCACCTTGCGTATGGAAGTATGGCGGCACCAGCGACACAACTACTCCTCGGCCAAAGTTTACTGCTCATATTTTCACGTGAGAGCGATGAATAAGTACGCAAACCGAGGGGACGGTAACGAAGAGCTCGGAGACTGTAAGCAGCGGGGAGGACTTCCAGATAGAGTCGTCGGTCTCTGGCCGGCTGAGTTTCCTCGATTTCGCTGCACCTCCTGGATTGAACTGTCTTTAGTCCGGGTACCACAGGGGAAGAAACTCCGCAAGATACGGAAGTTTGAAACAAACTGAATTATTTGGGTTTGGAAAGAGACATTGCAACGCATTTTATTGTTGTGACCAGATATGTTATTTTGAGATATTTGAGTGCACTTTCGGAACTTTATAAGCATGTTAACAGCCAACTGTTAGGTGCTCGATGAGCATTTAAGGGTCTGGCGCTGCATACCACCAGCTAACGTTGGTTAGCCTCCATGGCTACCTTCAACATTAGCTTGAGGTCGCCAGCTAACCAACAAAACACATTTTTACATGTAAGTTTCCTTCACTTGTCTTTAATTCATACGTTCTTAACTACCGTGTAAGTTTAGGATTTGTGTTAGAAGTCTGTCATTGTCACTTTAGTGCTTATTGCTTATGATTTAAATGTGAAATGCTGTTGTAGAAACTATAAGTTGCACAGGGACAATAGGGTTAATGATAACAATCGTATGCTCTTCTGCACACCAGGAATGGGTTTGATGAATATTTTTGTATCGAGCATTACTTTGTTGTCGCTTATCGGCACGAAATGTCCTGATAGTAAGTCATGTATGTAGCCCGCAGTATACTGAAGTTTACAGATGTTAGCTTGTCACTAAAGAGCTTCATTGGCATTAGAAAGAGGAAATTCAGTTCCATTACAATGATTACATCCTCTATATAACGGGGAAATGGGATTGTACATAGAAAGAAGCACAGGTAATGTAGGTGTGCTGACAAAAAAGTGGAAGTAGGGTAGTTAAAAATCCAACAGAGCATACTTTTAGTAAGTTTATTGTGCACATAGTCTTATTACAACATTCCTTAATTGGTTGTTTATTTCAATATTAGAATGCACATTATATTAAATATTATATTTGAGGGTGTTTTTGCAGTATACATTCAAGCTAGGATTAGCTTGCCACTTCTGTTTAATTTGAGTTTTTTTTGTTTAATACAATCATATCACTCTTAATTAAATCATTAATGATTCTTGTTTGTTTACCCCCTCTAGGTTACTCTGAAATGCCTTTCTTTGACCTCTGAAGCACTCAGGATCCATTAATGCATGATAAACAGAGACATACTGGAGTAATACGGATCTGCATAGGTGACCCCCATCACCCACACTCCAAGAGAGGACGGACTGAGCCAGGGAAAAGAGTTCCTGTCTTCTCCCGATCCCGTCCCTGCCTGGTGGCAAACTGTTGACAGTGAGCAACTGAGTCCAGCTCGGAGAGTCCCGGCTGCGGCCTGGCACCGTGCCCTTATGGGGCAGCAGCCGGGGAAGTTTGTAGGGGACCAGAGGAGACCTAGTCTGCCGGCCTTCATCAAGGGTGGAAGGAGAGAGTCCTCACGCCATGGGATCCAGCCCTGTAACGTGTTTGCTGTGCACGGTAAGAACACAAATACCTACTTAGACCTTTGATAGGTCACTTGTCTGTGACAGCAAATGTGTTCGAAAGTAATCAAATGCATTGTGTGTGTCTGTAATGAGAATTTAGGGATTTAAAATTGCATCCTTGGAGCATCATGTGCCTTCACAGGACAAGAAACAAATACTCAGATACCTTTCGGTCTCAGGATTCCCCTTGTCTCTCTGCAACATAACATTTCAACAAAGTAAACCATAGTACTGGCTAGAGTAAACCATTGCACGTGGAATACAAGGTGCAGGAGATGTAAGGATGCATCATTCAAAATTGCAGGAGTACTGTTGCCTCAACATTATTATGGGTGCATCAATGAGAATGCAAATTGCCAGCTGAATAAAAATTGCAATATCACATTTACATTTAATAATACATGCATCCATAAAGCTACTCTGACCCTTGGGAAAATATAATGAATATGTCACTTGACTGGTTAATAGTCTTGTAATGCTAAATAACAACTCATGACTAACTGCTGCTAACATTGCTGTCTTTAAACACGGATGTAATGTTTGGTAAATTGCATTCTCTATGGTATTATCACTTGGTGTCTCTTGCATGGTAAACTGATAGACAGATGAGTTGGCCTCCGTGTGATGGCTCAGTGAGAGTCATACAAGCTCTGCAGCACTGTGGCATTGTTGGAAATATGTTGAACTCGTCACTGGCTGACTATCTTAAATGAATTAAACAATCTGTAGAGCAGCTATTTTTCAAAAAGCATCATGTTAAAAGTACAATCTGCATTGGATGGATATTTGCTGTTAATACATCAATTCTGTTTACTTTTGATAAGACTTTACTGATTTAATCTGGAGATCGCTATGCTGATGGTCATGCTTGATATGACTTATCTCCCTTAACAATCATTAAACCTTTATGAAAGTGTAATTTAAATGAGCGAAGGCATGCTCTTGTTATAAATCCTTACAAAAGAATAATACAGTAAGTTATAACTTTATCAACAGAAAATGTAGCTTAAAGTGGACCCAGCATGCTATATTTGAAACATATATTGTAGGGCCATACCTATACCAAACAGATGCAAGGGCTGATTCTGTGAGAAGTCTTCTTTGCTGCTTTCGTGGCAGACTACAGCGCCAGCTACAGGCCTGGCATATGTACTACAGTGTCTCCAGCGCTTTCGAACGGCAATGGCCGTGGCTGTCTCCTCCTGATGGGTGGAGAGTTGCCCATATAGGCGGAGCTCCTTGTTTCTGACGTCAGAGATATTTCAAATCTGGATCAGTCTGTATCAGATCTGTTGCAGTCCCGTTTTTAGAGATTTGGGTATGGAGGAAAAGAGAGAGGGTTGTGTTTTCTGACACTCGGTGAGTTCCCTGCCACACCGGGGACACATATTCATGTATAAAAGACGTACAAAAGTGCATTTTGCATGATAGGTCCCCTTTAAATTAGGTAATTCTCTCCTCCAGGCAATTATGTATAGGTTGCTCAAAAGTTACTCAGTTTGCAAAGTCTTGATTTTGGCTTGCCTCACCTCGGCTAGCTTCTCAATCACAGAGTGAGTCTTGTGGGGGAAAGTGCATTTAGGTTGTGCACTGTGTGGCATACAGATATGGACAGAGGACATTACAGGACAGTTTTGAGCAATGAAAACACAGTAAAGATTATTCTGTTCCTGTCCTAACCCCTATTCCTACTTAACTTTCCTCAGGAACACAGGAAGCAGTCTGATGAATCCACATTGTCTCCTCCTGTGTCTTATATAGTGTCAATAAAGTGTTGATTGGTCAGCAAACATAGAGGCTGTGTCCAAAATCCAGACTGCAACCAACCCTTTTTTTATTCAACAGTTTTTTCTTGACATTTTTCGCTTTATCATTCGCCTCAGTGTACAAATGGGGCCAGAGAGAGAAGAATGTGACATGAAACAGAAGTCCCCAGGCTGCAATTGAATGCTGAAAATGTATACAAAATATATTCATCAATGCAGAATAAACTTTCGTACAGAAGCTTCAGTTCAGAAAAATGTATACATCAGTTTAAAAATAGCTTTTTTTAAATGATCACTTACTATTGAATCGGATGCATGCCTTGCAGCGAGCTAACTGATACGTTTAGCAAAAGTGTCTGTCAGGCAGAGAAGGCCTTGACGGGAATTATTTTTGCTGACAATTGTTGCATAACACAGAGGGGGACAAGACTGGGGAAAATCGGAAAAACAGAACGAAGGCCTGTGCCGGTAAATGGATTGAATTTGGCAAAGGGTCAGTGACATGGGGCGTGCATGTTTTCTTTTCTTGCCCCTTTCCGCGTGTGATGAGCACTTTAGACGAGGAGAGGGGATGTGAGTCATAGTGTACGAGGAGGGCAATATCAACACATGGTTTTACATCTATGTTTTCTTTTCTTCCTGGTGAGCCCAAGCTAGTTAACACGGGGCTAGCCAGCGCCATGCTGCTTCTCAGCAGGCAGGCTCAGACCTCTGCATGCGGCCGCCTGTGAGAGAGACGGAGGCAGTGAAGGGCAAGCAAAGACCTGTTTGTGCTTTTGGCTCGTCTGTGTACTGTACACTGGAGAGGTATAATCTCACTGCCTAGCTAGCACAGATCAGAAGAATCCAGCAGGGTCGAATATTTCTCAAACCAAAACTCTCACACTTCATTGTTTTTCTGTGTGTGGCTCAGATAACTGATTATGTCCTTAGATTGGCCATTGAATCATGGACTGGTTTACAAGCTGCAGTAGGTTACCA